TGGAATGAGTGCTACCTTGGCTGTATGTACTATTTGGCTGTTGACCTTCTACTACTGACAACTAACGACATCAGAATATGGAAGTTTTGTCTACATGGCTTGATGCCCATACATATAGGACATTTTATCGCCCTATACCGATAGAGGAGCACCTTGTCTATGAAGGGAAGATCTACCCAGCATCGAGCACAAGAAGCATGCCGAAAACCGCCAGTCAATTACGACAGAACCCTGCCCTCGAGCTAGACAGTCAGCCAGTGAGAATAATAAATACAAGTCAACACAAAGAATTCCAAGACCCGGTCTTGAATGCTGTCGTTGCACTAACGAATGAAACGGTAAGGTCTGGCTATGGCGTTCTCGTTTTCTGTAGTAGCCGCTCAGGATGCGAATCAGACGCTCGTCTTATAAGCAAGGTACTACCTCAAGCCAGCGAGCTAGATTCTACTATTTTTGAGAAGCGGTCAGATCTTCTAGGAGATCTCCGCAGTCTATCAACTGGCCTAGACCCTATTTTGGCTGAGACTATCATGACTGGTGTTGCTTTCCACCATGCAGGGATGACAACCGAAGAGCGCGATTTAATCTCCACCGCCTATGATGACGGAGCTCTGAAGGTTGTGGTAGCGACATGCAGCCTTGCTACCGGAATAAATCTTCCCGCTCGGAGAGTAATCCTCCATAACGCGCGAATGGGTCGTGACTTGATAGGGCCCTCGATGTTACGTCAGATGCGTGGACGCGCAGGGAGGAAGGGTAAAGACGAGATAGGCGAGACTTATCTCTGCTGTCGCAAATCTGACTTAGAAGACGTGGTTGAGTTGATGAACGCAGACCTACCACATATATCAAGCGGTTTGACAACTGACAGGCACAGGATTCAACGAGCACTACTAGAAGTTATTTCGATTCGGTTAGCCAACTCACGAGAGTCTATCCATGATTATATTCAGAAAACGCTTCTAAACCTCTCTGGCGCATCAGACCAGATCCAAGATCACGTCGCATCTAGTCTAAAGGAACTTCTGGAAATGGGATTTATTCAATGTGACAGCTTTGATTCTTATGTCGCGACACAATTAGGAAAGGCAGTTGTTGCATCGTCTCTTGAGCCCGCCGATGGTGCATTCGTTCACCGCGAAATGCAGCGAGCATTGCAGGCTTTCGTGATGGACGGCGAAATGCATATTCTTTACACTTTCACGCCTGTTCAGGAGCTATCTGTATCTGTTAATTGGCAAGTCTTTAGATCTGAGATGGAATCACTTGACAAGAGCGGACTCCGTGTTATGACGCTTCTTGGGTTAAAGCCCACGGTGATTAACAGAATGTATGTGGAGTCCTTCTTGACCGGCGTCAACTCGTTAACGTATATCATAGGGCACAAGGTGGAAGTCTTAAAGAATCGACCCCTACAGAGAAAGAAATAGCCCGGATTTACCGACGGTTCTACCTTGCTCTACAACTGAGGGATCTATGTAACGAAATGCCTGTGCATGTGGTAGCTCGCAAATATGATGTGCCAAGAGGTACTGTCCAGACTCTAGAGCAGACGTGCCAAGGGTTTGCGGCAGGAATGATCAAATTCTGCGAGCAAATGGGTTGGGGGTAAGTTTCATGCAACACTAATCAACTCATAACATAACGACTTCAACTTGCTAAACTCTATCAGCGCTATGGCAGCTATATTGGATCATTTCTCGGATCGCCTCAGAGCCGGAGCTAAGGCGGATCTTTTGGCTCTCGCAAAGGTGACCTTCATCAAGAGTCGGACCGCCCGTGTCTTGTGAGTAATCCTCGGAACCTTTTTTTTACTTGTTTTGGCGACTTTCAGAGCACGAGGTTAGGACAAGAGAGTGTCGATGAGCTCCTAAAGGCTATAACTGACCTCGAGATTTGTAGCTACGATAACGGATTCAAGACTGTCGCATCGCTAGCAAATACCGACCCAAAGGAGCTTGTGCCTATTCTCATGCAGGTTTGTTTAGTATAGCCGTTGACAGAAATGGACTAAGTATGGCCATAGGCGCAACCAACTAAGTTGAGAGTCAAGTCTAGAGACGAACAAAAGTATGAAGAGAAACTGCTTGCCAAAGCCCAAGTTATAACGGATTCCGCAAACCGTCTTTGGCGTAAGTATATATATGCTTTATGGAAGTCAAGGTCTGACAATTTTTTTCCAGAAGCCGAGATGCAGCAAGACCTAGACCAAGAATGAATTACTGAGCAGGACGCACCATTTCCTACCCGAACATCAAGGTGGTAGACACCAGGCAAGTCACGACATAACGTGCATTACTTCTAGGGGAGCTATCCGGAAGAGTTGAGAGCAATAAAAGGAACGACAAGTGTTATGAGATAAGCCTATTATGAATGGAAGTCATCGTCAACGGGGAATGCTGGCATTTGGGTATAACACTGAGAGATAGAAATACCCCATGATAAAGGAGTTATGGAAAATGCTAGACTCGGAGAAAGGGACATTGTGAACCGAGCTAAAATCGATATTCTGGCTTGGTTCTCCAAATTCTCCATTGCCTACCCCAGGCTGAACGAAATCATGCATGGCGAACCCACCGGGTAAAGGGTAGATGGGGCAGCATTTACAGGGATATAAAATAACAGCCATATTCTAGGCTTCACGAAGGAGAAATGACCATCTAGTTTCCTAGTTGTGATTATGTTCTCACTCATAGATGCAATATGTATTTCCCTTCTCGTAAGAGTTGGCGCCTCACAGGTCCTCACGGCGGCCCTCGATTATGGGACGTTCCGAGGAGCCTATAACCCCATCTACGATATAACATATTGGCAGAGAATCCCGTTCGCTGCCCCGCCTGTAGATCAGAACAGGTAAATATGCCAGTAGCCTCATTTCGATACTTGTTTTGAATTATTCATGACAGCTGTAAGATTACTCATGTTCACTCATCATGTAGGTTCCGGGCCCCTCAGCCCCCTCTGCCAATCACTTCCGGTGTTTACGACTCATCCCAAACGTTTGACATGTGCCCGCAGCGGGCCGTCAATGGCTCAGAAGACTGCCTCTATCTCGGACTATACGGCCGACCTTGGACGCGGGACGCGCCGCTACGACCAGTCGTCGTGACTTTCTACGGCGGTGGTTTCATCCAGGGGTCAGCTTCTTTCACACTTCCACCATCCGCCTATCCCATACTCAATGTTTCTGATACAAGCAATATGATCTTCGTATATCCGAACTACCGCGTGAACGCGTTCGGATTCCTCCCGGGCAAAGAAGTTGGTGAGGACCCGTTCTCGGACGCCAATGCCGGGTTATTAGACCAAGCGATGGCGTTGCGCTGGACCAGGAAATACATCAGCCATTTTGGCGGCGATCCCGACAAAATTACCATCTGGGGCCAGTCTGCGGGTGGTGGTAGCGTGCTCGCGCAGACCATTGCGAGCCATGAGAGCAACGCCAAGGGCAGAAATAGGGGCAGGAAGGCAAATGTGATGCCGTTTCGACAAGCTCTCGCCTCGAGCCCATTCTGGCCTAAGACATATCGCGTCGACGCCCCCGAAGCGCAGTGGCGATATGATACCCTTGCGAACTTGACGGGCTGCGCGGGACCGGAGAGCCTGAAGTGTCTTAAGAGCGTGGACGTGCAGAAGATCCGCGACGCGAACCTCGCCATTGTCGATAGCCATAAGTATACCACATCGACGTTCGAATGGAGCCCTGTGATCGATGGTGTTTTCCTGCGAGAGCCACTATCCGCCGCGACAGCACGTCGAAACGGGAGTGTTGTTGTCGGATATGGGATGTACAATACCCATGAGGGCGAGAATTTCGTCCCGTCGGGACTAAAGAGCGCCTCAGACACGGGCACACCGCCTTTCAATATGTCGACAGCTTCTTTTGATCAATGGGTCTCGGGCTATCTTCCAACACTTTCACGATCCCAGATCGATAAGCTGAAGGAAATTTACCCTGAGGCGGGGAGCGCGGAGAACATCGTGGCCTACAACGATACGTTTACGAGGGCTGGGCTTATATATAGAGACTCGACGCTCGCGTGCCCTGCGTATTGGATGGCGGGCAGTGCGACGGATGGTGGTTGGATTGGAGAGTACACCATCTCTCCCGCGCAGCATGCCTCCGATGTTTACTGGGTAAGTGTGATTGCTGCATCATTTGCGTTTTGTTATCAGTATCCATTGCTAATGAGAGACGATGCCAAGTGGAACACCATTAATACAGCCCAACGGCAGGACCCCTTACATTATAAAGGCTACGCAGGTTTGTCTTGCACCCCCCTGCCCCCCCTACTCGACCAAGATGATGGAGCTATTTACGAGTAGGCTGCTAAGTCTTGTCTTAACAGGCGCCTTGGCATCGTTCTTCATGACTGGTGACCCTAACGCTCTGAAACTGACAGGAACTAACGTTTCCGGATTGCCGGGCTTGAAGACTGGGCAGGAATGGGTCATCGATAGCACTGGCTTCACAGCTTCGAAACTCATTCAACTCAAAGAGAGATGTGCATTCTGGGAAGAGGTAGCACCGGAAATCCCAATATAGCAAACTCCGTAGTGATGTGTTTCAGAAGACTTGTCATGGGGAAAAAATATTTGTTATTGATAGATGGAAGATATGTGAAGTCGAAAGCCGAAACTCACCTTAAGCACTGTCCTTCGTGCATCCCTTAAAATTGATACAGATCCATTGTCTAATTCAATGATGACATTTTAAGGTGAGGTTATTAGACACTAAGGCGGCTTTATGGGTGCAGTGTCCAGACAGGATTTGTCACAAATTTAAAGCAAGCAGCAAACAGTCTATGAGGCATATATACTAACCTTTGGCGTATAGTTTCTGGGGTTCTTTTAATAGTGTAAACCCAATAGACTACCTGCTGATTGTGATAACGGTTCCCAGAAAACAGCCAAATTTAGAGCCAGAGCTCACGTACGTATATATCTACCTGCATGAGCCAAAGATATTAGAGATAAGGATACAAATGATCATTATTCCAGTTTTCGTGGCCTAGTGGTTTTAGGGCGTCTGTCTTACATAAATATCTATTTTATGATCACAGAAGATCCCCGGTTCAATCCCGGGCGGAAACATTTTGGTTTTGCTAGCATCACCCTCGGCGAATGCAGTTGTATGGACATCTGCGGAGCCTTTGCAGAAAAGGGTCTATATATGTTTAGTTATCAGCAACTGTTATACTTTCCTTTTTATCCTGCTGGCTACCCATTTAAGAGCACGGTACGTGATATACAAGACTAGCTCGTTTAAGAACGGGTGCATTTCTACCTTAGTACGACGGCATGAGTCACGTACCGGGTGGCACTTACGGCCCCGCTTACACTCTTCGGCGTCCGGAAAGGAACCGGGACAGCCAAGACAGCTACCCATCAGGGGGTAATGTCCCTTTCAGGCACGCCGATGTTTATTTCGCCGACTTTTAGAACCACCGGTGGAGTCCAGCGCCCATGATTTTGGTCCGGTTGAGTGGGAGTCGGTTGGGGTCTATCTCATATACGCTGAGACGAGGTAACAGATACGAGCGGCGCATGTAGCTTCGATATCTTCTATATATAGAATACCTATCCCCTCACCTTTCTCGATGTCCTCAATCTACCCTCTACATTTCCATTGTTGGACTTAATCGGTCGGATATTATCACTTGGTCCAATCCTACGTCCCAATATACCTATAATCATTATATTCTATCATTTTCGGAATCAGCGCCATGGCCGACGTACGCGGTAGCTGCACTTCGCAGTTCGAGAAAGTTCGTTCTCTTCTCCAGCAGTTCGTCGACTCGGGGGAAGAGACCGGCGCCTCCATAGCCGTCAACGTTGGTGGTGAGGATGTCGTCAACATCTGGGGCGGTTACGCGAATCCAGAAAATAAGCAACCTTGGGCTGAGGATACCATTGTCGGCGTGGCCTCAAGCACAAAGATGTTTAGCAGTCTCGCTGTCCTCATGCTCGTCGATAGCGGCGTCATTTCCGTCTATGACAAAGTGTCCAAATACTGGCCCGAGTTCGCCGCTAATGGGAAAGAGAATATCGAGATCCGTCATTTGTTGTCGCATACTTCCGGCGTCGCTGGTTGGGACGATAAGGTCACCATGGATGAGATATGTGACCCTATCACGTCCTCTGCAAAGCTAGCCCCCCAAGCGCCGTGGTGGGAACCTGGCACAGCATCGGCCTACCACGCTTATAGCTTCGGTCACCTGTTGAGCGAAGTCGTACGTCGTGTAACGGGCATGGGTCTGAAGCAGTTCATCACGGAGAAGATTGCAACGCCCTTGGGTGCCGATTTTCAGCTCGGCATCTTAGAAAAGGATATACCTCGCGTTGCTAAGGCAACACCTCCGTCAGGAGCGAACCCGGACTTTAAGCCTGGCCCCCTGTTTATGAGAGCGATCGCAAATCCCATGATGCCCCCTGACGTAGGGAGACGCCCTGCATGGATGCAAGGGGAGATAGGCGCTTCGAATGGCTACAGTAACGCTCACGCGATGAACCAAATACTGTCTACCGTCACGCTCGCGGGCCGCGAGGGTACCGATGAGCGCAATCAATTGCTATCCAAGTCGACCGTCGACTTGATCTTCGAAGAACAATCTAACGGGACGGATCTCGCTATCGGGTCGCCCATTCGTTTCGGCATCGGGTATGCTATTAAAGGCGATGGGGACTGGGTCGATGATTGGATGCCTGCGGGCGACATTGCTTACTGGGGTGGCTCGGGCGGCTCTCTCGGTATCATGGATGTCGGTCGTAAAGTCACTATCACGTATGCTATGAACAAGAGATCAGCCTCAGTCATCGGAAATACGGCGTCCAAAGCATATATAGGGGCAATCTACGAGGCACTGGGAGTCAAGGTTCCGTGATTATGACATGGAGCCGAGCTAATTAGGTGTCAACAGTGGGCTGTATATTTTCTCTTTGATATCAGATTTTCTAGGTAGTCAAACTGTAAAGCGACTAGCATTTATGTGCTAATACGCATGAACATTACAATTCATATGCCCTCATACGTTGATACATATCATTTCTGTCCCTCGTGACATCATGAAAGTGGCAGCACAAAGCCACATATTATCCATCATGAGATCAAAGAATTATTTATCCCGTCATCGCACACTGCGGGTAATTAGTAGTTGAAATTTAGCTCATTTTGACATGCAACGGATTGGTACGGGCACACACACATTAACACATTGGCCTCACGGTGTCGGAGAGATAGCGGCAAGCCACTGGAACAATCCGAGTCAGCTATCGCCATTTCGAGCGTAACTTTTGAGGGTTTGAGAAGTTTCCAGACACCCTCTTGGGCAGAGAAGAAGAACGTCTATTCTGAAAGTTGCCGGGACAAAAAAGGAAAATGGTTCCGAGAACTACTCACACAGGCAGCTTGACAGGTGCCGAACCCTGTGTTGCAGGCAACAATGGTTGCTGGAATTGAGAGACCAGCCGTTGCTCCCCAAGTGAACCCCGCTGCTGCATAACATGCTGTCACAACGGCCGCACAGCCGGCTTGACAGATACCGTATGCGGCTGGGCCAGCACTCACAATGGGTGTGGACGCGAGTAGTGCGGCGAAGAGAGACGTTGTGGGTTTCATATTGTAAGTCGAGAGAGGTGCGCCGCGATGATATTGATGTTGATTATGAGCTGTTCTTGTTGCAAGTAGATAGAACCAACCTAAGTCCTTAAATCCAGTGGTCAGACGTGAGCCGGGACAGTCGAAGGCTGTGTTTATATACTTGTACACCATTCGATAAGCGAGAAGACAGTGGAATGTATCAAACGCAATAGATAGATAACTTATAGACGGAACTATTGGTTCGAACCTATGTGTTAACGCCAGATGTTTCTTGTGGGCCGTAGCACTTGAGACATATTGATGCACTGAGACACTGCGCCGATCAAGAAACCTATAGAATATCCCACTTACCTACCCCGCCATGTCAACATAATAGCTGTATCCTCTCGATAGGTTGGTACCAATATTTGCGGGAGGGGTAGATGCCTGGCATGACGTGTGATCTTATCTACAGCTTCTTATTCGTGATACTTACGGCAAACCACGGTTCTAGGATATAGGAGAATTAGCGTCAAGGAATCTAACTAACACTATCCTACGAAACTACCAAATTAAAATGAATTCTGTAGTTATTTTATTGGTATATACTGGCGAAAGATGCCGATATCATTATAGATCAAGAAGCGTTACTGGAAGCGATTAAGCTATATGTTGGCAAAGTACTTCAAAAAGAGCATGCTATAGAGAAAGAGAGGCAGAGAGACATACATAGCTGCATAATCCAACGTCTTAGATGTAAATCCATGAGGGCATTGCATTTTCTGGGATCATCGCCTTCTTAACATCAACCGGCTTTTGCTATGTCTAACTATCGCTGCATGAGGGTTGGATGTAGTGCTGAACGTAGTGGTAACCAACGCTGTAGGTTTTAAGACCGCTAAGCCCAATGGGACTAGATAAAGATTAATCATAGACTTAGGTTGAAAATAATTTGAGAAGTTGTAACAGCTAGAATGATACTGTGAAGAGAGATCAACTTGAAGTTATCGCGAGGTTTGATCACCCCAGTGGTTAGATCTACACCCCACGTGCGTGTGGATACGGGAATCTCGGATGGTCAGAGATCCTAGTGCGAACCAATAAGAATAATTCTTTGTTTGCTTAGGGCTGAAGCGCATGCATGGCGGACATTAGTAGGAAATTACTTAATTGAGCTTAGGGTAGAGGAATGATAGAGTTTTGAACCTTGTTAAAAGCTGGATACTTCGTATGCATTTTCGAAACGCTGCAGAGTTAGTTCCTGAGTCTTGCATGAAGCACTTGATCTGGCGAGATAGATCCTTGATTACTTAGGATGATTGTTTGTGACTATGCTTACATTTGATACAAGATTCAAAAATGCATACTACCTAGGTATTTATATCATGTACCTGAGTAAGTACATCATGCGCTACATGTAGGTAGATACAAGTAGGTACCTAGGCAACTTGTTGGCAGGTAACATTGAAACTTTAGCATAGTTAGTATCTAGACTAATAATAGAATAGTGCCGTGCATGTACCGTACCGTAGTTTTGCCGTAGCGTACACGGAGATTGGTGCTTGAATAACGGCTGATTTCCAACGCATCGCCACAAAGGGTCCTACGCGGCCCGCGAAGCAGAGCCCCACAATCCCGTCATCATCCGCCATCATCCGTCATCAACCGTCCGCACGTCCTCCTTATCTGTATGTATGTACTTGCTTTAAAGTGCAACGTATTCTTGGGCTATTGATGCCGATTCCAAAAGGCAGCATGGCCAGGTGAAAATTATACATTCAACAATAATTCGAACTGATGGGTTGGTGTTGAAGCCGGAGCTCCCGATTTCCTGGACCAGATAGATACCCAGCAACTTACTTGGCTGGCTAGCGAAAGACGAAGCCCAGCTTGTACACATGCCATTGCAGACCACCGTACCAACACCGCAACGACATTCACGGCCATCCTCCTCTATCTAGGCCGCACGCTGACCGCCGCGACCGCCGTCTGACCTAATACGGGAACCGACAAACCTTCGCAATCCCGTCGAGATACTTCCCGAGCATGCCGTTTGACTACGCCTCTACAGCGCAGGCGCTGGCCCTCTCTCCCTCGCCATCTCCGGATCCCGAGCCGACGTCACCAAACCATCCGTCGCACAACGAGCGATTGCCTGCATGGGCTCGTCCAGCATCGAGCCATGGCCCCAACAGCAGTGGTGATCTGTTCCAGGGTCCGCGTATGCAGGGCATACGACGACTATCGACGCCTTACTCGCGGGGCGGTGATGGCGCCGAGCAGCGCCGGCCGCTAGGCCAACGCATAATGCAGGGCAGCGTCTCCGTCATGAACAAGCTGCTGAAGCTCGGCTACAGCATGACTCCCCTCCAACGCGTGCTAGCCGGCGTGGCCGGGCTCGTCGTCCTCGCACTCGGTATCTTATTCCTGGTCTTCTCGCACCGCATCTTCGTGGCCCTGCATCCCGTCGCCGAGGGCTGGCGGAAGCTCCCCGGCGGCTGGGTCCTGCTGTTCC